AGAATTTTTTTTGTCGAAACTATCCATGATTGGTCATAACGGCTCACATGTCCCTATCTCAACTTTTGATCAACTATCTACTGACATTTAATTGAAACAAATACAGGGTGGTGCAGAATTCAGAATCTTGATCACCCGGTATATGTCCCAATTAAATATCAGTAGATAGTTAATCAAAAGTTGAGATAGGGACATGTGAGCCATTTTGACCAATGATGAATAGTTTCGACACAAAAAATTCCTAAAGTTGAAAAATGTCGATTTTTCACACCCTATATCTCTGTAATCATTTCCGCTAGACCCCAAGTGTGATACATCGATGAAATCAGCTCTTCAGGGAGGATCTAAAAATGCAATAAAATACAGAGTGTTCCATTTGAAAAATCAAAGTTGCTACTGCTTTCTAATAGAAGCGGCAACACCGCATTGTCAAAAATATTTTAGTTGGCTAGAGAATGTCCGAATATGCCCTCCATTGAATTTTCAAAATGATCCGTTGTCTGGTTCACCAGAAACGTCTAATGTGCCATCCACCGTGAATCAGCCTGTATACACCGTGTCCCAGCTAAAATGTTTCCCCCTGTAAAAAATCAACCGCGCGATCGAATGACTTGAAATTTCGTCACCTAGTTTTTTTGATGATGCTCATTCGAAATATGATATTGAATAAATCGTAGGTATACAGGGTCACAGCGAAGTGCACCTTAACTTTCCTATTTGAATAGGGACACCCAGTATATTACTCCATATTCAAGTAGAGTTCATTATTATAAATTCAACAATGCCAGGTTTGATGGGATTTTTTCAAACGACCACGAAGATATGCCAAAAAATAAAAAGATTCTATAAAAAAATTGTTTTATTAGATTTCATTAATATAACACGATTGGAATCGAATAAAAAAAATAATTGAAACCTCAACTGCTCAATATGTCGTCTTCGTCTATGCTGCTTCACAATTGGCGACTCATAAAGCTGTTGTTTCAAGTAGTCCCACAGATAAAAATCAAGTGGGGTGAGGTCTGGCGACCGAGCTGGCCAGTTGCTATCACCATCGAGACAATTGGTGGTTATTAGATTTTCTCCAAACCGATGGCGAAGGTAATCCTTTACGGGTCTGTCGTTATGTGCAGGACACCCATCATTCGATTTTAATCGTGTTATATGAATAAAATCTAATCATATAAATTTTTCATTGAATCGTTTTATTTTTTGCCATATCTTCATAGTCGTTTGAAAAAATCCCATCAAACCGGGCATTGTTGAATTTGTAATAATGAACTCTACTTGAATATGCAATAATATACTGGGTGTCCCTATTCAGATGAGAAAGTTGAGGTGCACTTCGGTGTGACCCTGTATACCTACGATTTATTTAATAGCATATTTCGAGTGAGCATCATCAAATATACTGGGTGACTAAATTTCAAGTCATTCGATCGCGCGGTTGATTTTTTACAGGGGGCACATTTTAGCTGGGACACGGTGTATAATTCAATGATAATTCAATATGAGGGACACTAGTGGAGACCAATTATATTCACCTAGTGAATAAGTTTGTGAAATTTCCATTGCGAATATATTCTCCCAACAGATTAACATCACGTTCAACTCTAATAAAACAAAACCATCTGAAAATACAGAATTCAAATCATCAACCTCCATTTTTTCTATCACAATATTAAACGCCCAAAATCATTTTGAATTTATTTGGACAGCAAAATGAAAAATTACATTTTTCCCGAAAAAGGTTCCTTTTACAGCATTCTAACAAGCCTAAATGATTTCTATCAACAAATCACCCTTATAGCGCCCTCATAAGGAAATATTTTCGGATTCATCAGTTGATAGGAACCTTACGTTCTCATTTTCATCTGTAGAATCATCTCCCAGAGTATACGAACGTAATTTCAGGACATTTAGTGTACAAGTTAGGCAAATCAATGTTAAATTATTTCATTGTACGAGTATCACTGAAAAGAGCTATAGTATTTGTGAAACATGCCGTGTCGTCAATTAAAAATTTTGGGAAAATCTCATCGTTTTAGTGAATTAAAAAAATCAATCAACAATAATTATTAGTAATTATTGTATCTATTTTTCACTTGTCCATTACTGCTTTTTAATACAGTTGCTATCATGTTCATATTTACATGTGTCCTAAGTTGAAAGTATAAATTGTTTTTATTTTTTACCCTCCTGTATAAGCATCCATGGTGCCAAAATTCAGCATTGATGGAGACTGAGAAAGCCCTAATATTTCAATTTTTTTATAATTGGGGTTATTGAGTAATCTCAATGGAAGTCTTCAAAACACCTAAATTTGGAGTCAAATCAAATTTTGATTGTTTCCTCAAAAACTTAGCAAGAAACAAAAATCACACAGAGGATGAAATAGTTATTTATGATATAAGTGCTAAAAGTGACATTTTATTTTGTGAGAAGGGAAGTTTGGGACACGACGCGGAGCGGAGTGTTCCATCCCTTCGAACAAAAGAAAAAACATTTTCAGCACATATATCATACACTATTTTTTTTACAAACACATTAAAAGTCCAAATTAACGCATAACTATTTTACATTAATTATTAATTGATTAAATAACAGCCTCGAGATTATCAGTTTTGAATCCAATTCAATCTAATCTATTCATGAAACAAGTTACCAAGGTAAAGAAAAATTGAATTTGTTGATTTATCTTCCTTGACAACTAACGTCAATAAATCACGAATTATTCTTTCTCGTTTCTTCGTTCCTTGATGGAAAGTGCCCAAGAAAATGAATTTCTTCCGCCGCAAATTGAAGAAGCTGCCAATAAAGCTGTTTTTGAATTATTGCCTAGTAAGTCGAATTACTCTTTGTTAAAGTCGATGATGAACATAAATGATCATGACATAAGCAGATATCACAAGCTTGTGGCTTTTTTGAAGCGAAAGGGTGAAGGATATCGACCGAAAAAGTCAAAAGTATTGACAAGAGAACAAATCGACAAATTTCTCGCAGAAGCCCCAGATGAAATATTATCTAATGCAGAAAGTTGCTGCGATTTTTGGTGTTTTTGGAGCCTGTCGTCGAGAAGAACTGTGTGATTTGACATTAAATAATATCGAGGATTCCGCAACTTCACTAGTTGTGCATATACCAGACACAAAAACTAATGTGCGAGGCACCTTTGTTGTAAGTGGTACATTGTATATGAACTACTACAAAAAGTTCATAGCCCTTCGTCCATTGGATATTAATCATTCTAAAGTTTTTATGAAAGGCATCAAAAATAAATGTGCCAGGACTCCAGTTGGAATCAATTTGGTAAGATGCCTGCCAATATTACCGAATTTCTTAATTTGCCTGATTCCCATCTATATACTGGACATTGTTTCCGACGTTCCTCAGCTAGTTTGTTGGCGGACTCTGGTGCTAGTCTTATACAATTAAAATACATGGTGGATGGAAGTCCAGTACAGTAGCAGAGGGTTATATAGAAGACTCGCTACAAAGGAAACAGAACATTGCAGATCAAATTTTGTCGAAAACTTCGGCAGATAATATTGCTCTCTGCCCTGGTACAAAAGCTTCACGAGAATAAATTCTGTCACATCTACCAATGAGACTGGCCATGGAGTTTCGTATTATAATTTTAGGTTCGCTAATTGTACTTTTAATTGAATAAACACTTCATTTTGAATTATGTTTACATATTTTCTCATAAAAATAAATCACTTTCAGCACTAGTGCTAAAAGTGATTTATTTTCAACACGAGTGTCATAAACTGAAATTTTAGACACTGACAGCATGCGTCAAAAATTATAATTTCACTGACGTTTGTAGAAAAAAGTTTTTATTCCAATAGTTCAGTCTGATGAAAAAATGAAACTCAGAAAATCACCTTCACCATGAATATCGATAAATTTACCCGCTGTGACGTCACTGGAAATATTATTTCGAATCTAATTGCACTAGAAGAAGTTCCAAATTACTATTAACAAAAACACAACGTTTTATTGAAATTGATAAAAAGACAATTGAGAAATAAAAAAAATATTTTTCATAGAAATATTGATACCCTGTATCTCGAAAACGAAGCAAGTTAGGACACATGTTTATATGAACTTTATTCCCTAAAATATCACAAGGAATCACCCCTTGAATTTTTTCGGTGTAATTTAGATACACCCTGTATAACGCACTTGGTACTTAAATAACTATTTCATATTTCATTCGAAATTATAATAAATATGGGTACTGCTATGTATTGATATATAATGTATACAATAACGATATACGATTTCTTACTGGCTACATTTTCATTTTTAAAAGGCAAGTAAATATGCCGGGTATTTCCAGGAAAGGAAACTGAAACCAGAAAGGAAAAATCCGCGAACTCAAAAGCAGTGACATAATTTCATGGAGTATGAACAGTTTATTCAGATCCACAGAAATAGCGGATGACGTTTTTAGACGTCACGTCTTTTATACGATATTTTCTTACGACTTGAACGAGAAATGTTCACCATTGTAGAATGCAGATGTTACAAAAATAATAAAAATATACACAAAACACGACAATTATATTTAGTAAAGTCTCAGAATAATAAAAGTATCTGATGTGATGTAATAATCAGCATCCTGAATATGTTGGGCAACACTTGATTCATCGAACCAATTATATCTGAAGTGATCATTATGTTCTTCGAATCTTGTGTCTATGCTTCGACTCGTTTGTCCAATGTATTAGAATTAATGCAGTCTCTAGGATTATTCAGAAACTATTGTTATCGTTATTATTTGAAGTTAATTCTGAGTTCAGCCCTTGCGATATGGAAAAAAGACTTTGAAATTCCTTAAATATCTTATCAACTGAAGATCCACTTGGTATGAGCTAATTGATACATGCTTTTTTGTCATTGAATCATATTTTCCGATGATATATTTTGTAATTGTTTATTTGACCACCATTTGAACTTATTTTTGTTGTAAATAGATATTTCGGTATACTCACCCTATTAAAACCGGATTCCAGAAGAGGAACAATCGTATTGTCATCTTTTTCAAATGCACTGAAACATTTTTCATTTGTTATCTCTAACAGAATATTAACAGACACTTTGAATAAAATACTAACTTTCTCTTAACTATAGCTACTATGACTGTGTGTTGGTTGCCCCTGGTATTCCTTATAGACCTGAAAAAAAAGCTCAAATTAATTTAGAGGCACAACAGCATAAAATATATGCAGGTGAATTTCCCTGAGCAATTTTAATGCAATAACATTTTCATCCTCTGCTTGTTTGATGAAGGGAAACAAAAATGCAGGAATCCCAGATTAACAATGTTTCCTCGTTCGAAAATGGAATTTCCCAAGGTTTTGGGGCAAATGTTCGACCTTTGTCATCTTATATAATATCTCAGTTTCCACAAAATGGGATCGATACAATATTCAGTAGTAATACTATAAGTAGGTACTTCAAAATATTCTGGATATAAATCGATAGCTTGTTGAATGATTATAAAAAGTGTCAGTTCTGATCTGATATCACTATTGAAACTTGAAATATGTTGTTTTATTCAATTTGTCCTATATGAATTGAACATTTCGAATTTAAATTTTAATGAAATTAATCAATTGGGCTCGTGGCCGTGAGCGTAGAGTCGCTGGCTGTTGCCCAGGCGGTCCGGGTTCGATCCCCGGCGCGAGCACTGAATTAATTTTCGGTAGTTTCGTTGGGCGGGAGGAGATAGGTGGCCAACCCAACATTCTTGGTACCTAGATATCAATCCTTTGGACTGTCCACGGTTACCAGCCGAGTAGTGCTTCGGATGACACTTAAAAAGCTAAGGTCCCCGTCTTCTTAACTCACACAAGTCTCTGACTTTCGAGGGTTGCTTTGCAACTAAGCTGGCGGTTAAAAACACTTAAAAACACTTAAAAAAAAAAATTACATAATCATGGAACAAGACAATTGAATTTATTAATAGCAAATACGTATAGATCGAATATTGGCAAACAATCCATTTTTCAGATTCAAAATTTACTTGAAAATATTTTTGTATGTTCATAATTATATCTGAGATTATTCCTTTTCAATACTTTCACCCAATCGCAGATTCGTGATTAGCTTTTCTCAATTCAGAATTTCTTTCCACGTCCTGTATGATGGATATTAATTAATCAGACATTCAAAAACAAATGCCCAGATGACAGGAATATGTCAACAAATCATAATACTCAGAAGTCAGTTGTTATAGTTTTAGGGAGATGAAAATTGTGTTTATCATGAAGAATGGCTGAAAGAATGACTGGACTTCAGGTTACTAATGAGGATTTGATATCCGAAATGAGTTTATTCGAGTGGAGTCATATAACTTGTTTGTGATAGACTATTATTACCATATCACTGATACGAATGATTTTTTTTTCGAAGTTCCGAGCTCATCAAGATCAGAGTTTATACAAGTATTGTATAAGTTCAAGTTCAAGTAAATTGAAGAGTATATGACTCTTCAATTTTCATTTCAATACTGAACATATTGGTTAGTTATATATTTTTATGTCATAATACATCATATTATGTTATCCGATTTGAGAGATGATGTCAAATCTCGATTTCAGACTATTTTCATTTTTCATGCTCTCTTTTTGGATGCTCAATAGATATAATTCAATGTTCGACGTAGCAAATAGCCAGGAAAGTATTTGATTTCTGTTGAATTTAATTTAATTCAATATTCAGAATGATATTATATGCTTATCTTTATATGAAAGGAGAATGCAAATGCTATACTCGTGTGTGTTCAATAGATTTAATTCAATGTACGTCGTGGCATATAGCCAGGAAAGTAATTGTTTTCTGTTGAATAAACCGAGAAAGAATTGATATTTTCATCACATAGAGAATGCGAATTCTCAATGTATTCCTTCATATATATATATATATCCATTTTTTACGTTCATAATTATATCTGAGAATATTCCTTTTCGAAAAAAATCCCGTCACATCGACACGTTACGTCACTGTGTTGAATTTCATATTATCAACCTGTAGAATCCCATTTTATATCCCCAAGGATTAAGCCGATATCCGGTAAACCACTCAATGTATAAAACAAAGCCCTCCTTTGTACGTGAAACATCACAATATTTCATTAATGAATTCCTGCGAAAGATTACAACGAAGATTATGCTACCGTTAACAATCGAAAAAGTTAGGTAATATAAGGGTAATATTGCAGAAGAGAACAAAAGATAATAGTAGAGAGGGTGCATATTGAAAAAATCTTCGTCATTTTACACAAAAGATAGGTATTATACTTAAAAACGATTGAAAATTACAATAGGACTATCATACGATTTTTTCAATAATACAAAGCGCAGATACGGCCTGTTCTAGAATACTGTTCCCACATATGGGGTTCAGCACCAAAACATAAGCTGATGCTCTTAGATTCCATCCCAGAGAAGAGCCATTCGCCTGGTGGGTGACGCCACACTCACTCACTCTTTGACATCATTGGAACATCGTAGAAAGCTCGGTGACCTTTCACTTTTCTATCGATACTTCCACGGGAAATGATCTTCGGAAATCTCTGCTATCATCCCTTCACTAGCAATACCAATCAGACGAACTAGACAAGCCCAGTCAGCACATCCTTTCGTTGTCAACCTCGAAAGATGTCGAACAGCACTTTATCAAGACTCCTTCATCCATAGAACGGCTAGGCTCTGGAATTCATTGCCTGTGGAAATATTCCCAACAACATATAATCTCCAAAAGTTCAAAAAAATTCCAATACCTACCTCCTGTCCCTATCCTCCCTAGGAACGCACGATGTTCTTTGAACATTATAGGGATTCCCTTCTGTGCGCTCCAAGCGATAAAAAAAACATAGATTTCAAATACAGAGGTTTTACTTTGGAATGAGGTCATTTGTGTTCATTTCCTGTTTAACCGAATGTGCTACGTCCCTTTAGCAATATTTCACATCGATTTTTTATGTTGATGTTCCAAATTTTCAGGATTTCTTTCAAATGGTGCCATCAAAAGCTTTTAACGAACGAGTAACATGATAAACCCTGTATAACATAACCCATCGAGTTCAATAATCCCCTTATGAAACGATTTTTCCGCTTCTATTCGACTGTTTAATCCGATTACTCTTTCCATCGGTGAAAATTGAATACTATTCCAATTCGAATATATCTGATAGCACATAATTGAAGAGCTTCTTCTTCTTCAGGTGGAAGTTGAATATTCTCAACATATTCCCAACTCTCCCGAATTATGTTCAATTATGGTCGTGAATTTGAATATAATATTTAAATGTATATTCAATGACTGATGTCAGATATTATATGATAAATCAGTGCCCGTTAGACTTAGATTTCATTCGCTTACTCTGTTTGACCTTGTAGAAATGATGCGATTTTCCAATTTCAAAAGCATGGAAGGGAGGTATATGAGAGACATAGAGACATAGAGATACGTGAAATTAGTATATGAAACACAATCATCATTTTGATTTCCCTTGAGCTTCGATAGGGGTCACTGAAAATTCTATCACCCGATATTTATTACAGTAGGTAGATATTCCACACAATGATGGAAAGAAGACATATGCTGGTCCTTTCTTGTCAATTATTGTTGTGCCAGACTATGATAGAAAATGAAGTTTTTCGTGTTTTGAACGTCTTTAGCGGATTTCGAGATATAACAAATAATTCAAAACTTCTGTAAGTGTAAGATCATTATTGTGCCTCTCGTTCTATGGTGAATATTTTTGAGTTGGCTATAGCGCTTCAGGTTTTTTCAAGGAGTTGTTTTCTGCATAAACTCCAAACTTAGTGTGACATCTCATTTCCATAAATATGCCTTTTCCATTTCTATTTTTTGTAATCTTCATAATTCCTTTGAACGAGGCTACTGAAATATACTGTTTTGGCTCCTGATTTCTCTATTTCTCACATATTTCACCGGGTAAAAAAGCTAGCTCGTCTTTTATGAACCTAATGTAACAAAAATCTCCATGAACATTTTCAATACACCTTTTTTTCACTCTATGATGAAATTCTTATCGCGGCGATATATTATTATCACAATAAATTCAAATCGGTCAATAATCCTCCAGATTAGATATCATATTCTCATGGAACACAATTATTTTTCTCAGTATTCTTGACTGTCTTCAATCGTCCATTCAATGTGCCAAAAAGAGGCATATTAAAATTTCAATTACTCTTTTCTTTAGGCAATTCAAAAAAATCTAAAGTGTTCACTTTCCACCAAGTGATAATTATTGGAAAATCATATGAGATATTTGTTTCTGATTGTCGTTGAATTTAAACTTTTCTCTTGCTATTTATAGCCTCAGATAACCAGGTACTCATGGATTTGTCCCTGATTTTTTTTGTTTTATATCTATATCACATCGATATTGAACAGTTGTGTTGTGCACCAATGCTGATTTTCAATGAGATATAACATAACACCAATCATAACCTTTCAAAATCATCAATTCGAAGTAGATTTCAGATATATTCAAACTATAATCAATGAAACATCGCGTCATTCAACACATTTTATGTTTTTGGGTAGTTTCAGTATAACAGTGGCTATATATTCACGTATATCAGATGAAAAACTAATAAATTGATTTATAGATATAGGCTAATTACATAATATGTCAATCAGGGATCTATTTATATTTTATGCCGCAGTAGTTTCTTATACGTATACCTATATCATCCTCTCTAGTTTATTATTGCAATTCCTCTTAGTGCCAGAATTCTAAATCAAATTGGCAATATAAGATGATGACACGGTATAATAAAGCTCCAATTACTTGGGTCTAATTGAAACTAAACCGGATGAGTGAATATCTTCAATTTCAACCGAAAGGATATAAGGAACTTCACAGTACAGGGCGTTACGAATAAAACGGACCACGCCCTGAACAACTTGTGATATGATATGATATGAAACACATCAAAATCAATTTCTTTGTTTTTTTATGGCTAACATGGAAAATGTTACATTAGTTTGTATACATCATGTAATCTAAAAAAATTTTACTTGAATATTAATTCGTGATACATCGATGAAAATTACTCTTTATTTATAGTGTTATTTGGATATCAATGACCATGCAGTGTTATCAGTATAATACCGAGTAATTGGCTATAGAATA